AACTCCAGGAAATACAGCAATTCCTCAGAATCAATTATTCTTGGGAAACTGTAGGGGAGAATTCATGTGTTACTGTCTCACATAGAGCCAGACCAGTTAGTGGGATCAGGACTTTCTGTGTGCTGTAGTTTTGTCTCTTGGTATTTGGCAGTGTTTCAGATACCAAGACTTGAGTTAGTTCTAATCTTCTGTTCAGAGGGCTACATTCTCCTCACCATTCTGATACCTGTTATCTAGGATCTCTGTATGTTTTAAGTTGAGCTCCCTTGCTTCACTGCCACAGAAATCTGAGTATATTTTGGTTTTAGAAGAAATTGGTCATGTTTTCTTTTCTAATTTTACTAATCAGCTGAACTTTCATCCCATTTTTTTTCCTTTTTCCTTTTTTTTTTTTTTGAGGCAAGGTCTCACTGTGTACCCCAGGCTGGAGTGCAGTGGTGCGTTAGAGTAGCTGGGACCACAAGTATGTCCCACCATGCCCAGGAAATTTTTGTTTATTGTTTGTAGAGATGGGGTTGTGCCATGTTGCTCAGGCTGGTCTCGAACTCCTGGGCTCAAGCAGTCCTGCCTTGGTCTCCCGAAGTGTTGGGATTACAAGTGTGAGCCACCGTGCCAGGCCTCATCACATTCTTTTAATGTTAAAGTTAGATAGATTCTTGGAACCCTTATCTGGGTTGCATTAAGTGAAGAGGGCTGCCCCTTAACCTGCATGACAGTATCCTCATATTTCTCCCAAGGACATGGCCTTGAGGAACTTACATATTTCTATGTTTTGCTTCACTGAATAAGCAATATAAGTCTGATTAGTGACCTAACAAGGAGTCTGCTACTCATCCAGTTTCAAGACTTTAAAGATGGCCCTGAGGCTTACGAGCAGGATCCTTTGTATCTGTCTTGCAGAGGATTACATTTCTAATATCCCCACAGAACTCCAGATTGAACTAGGTCAAAGTAGACCTCCTGGGATGGGGCAGAAGTGGGTGTAGAACTACCACCTGTTCTTCAGCTGAATGGCAACAGCAGGTGACAGAGGACCCAAGATTGGAATGGCATGAAACACCTTAGTGCAGTTAGACTTGGGAGTTAAATGAATGTGTGTGTCCGATAGGCTTTTCTTTTCTTCTGGAATGTTGTTTGATGGGTTTGGACTGGGGGGACCAAATGGCTGCTTCTAGATCTAGTGTGGAAAGTGACATGCATTCTTTTGACCCTTCATCATGCTCCACCTAGAATAGGGTTTCTCATCCTCGGCATTATTGACATTTTGTGCTGGATGATTCTTTGTTGTGGCAGACTGTTCTGTGCATTATAGGATGTTTCTTTTTTCTTTTGAGACAGGGTCTGTCTCTGTCACCTGGGCTGTAGTGGCGCTATCACATCCCACTGCACCTTCGACCTCCCAGGCTCAAGCGATTCTCCTACCTTAGCCTCCCAAGTAGCTGGAATCACAGGTGCATGCCACCACGCCTGGCTAATTTTTTATTTTTTGTAGAGATGGGGTTTCACCATGTTGTCCAAGCTGATCTCAAACTCCTGGGCTCAAGCGTTCCTCCCCCCTTGGCCTCTTAAAGTGCAGGGATTACAGACGTGAGTCACTGCACCTGTCTTATAGGATGTTTCTAAATATCCCTGGCTTCTACTCATTATGTGCTGATTGCAGTCCCCTTCCCCACCAGGCATGATAATCAGAAATGTCTCCAGACATTGGGACATATTCCCCAGGGGTCAAATTTGCCCCTGGTTGAGAACCACTGACCTAAAAGCTCTTATAATTCCTAGTACATTGATGATCTAGCCTGGGATCTGGGACTTAAAGGTGGCTAGTGTGTCTGTTTCCTCTCAAATGTAGGGAGTTAACTTCAAGGGATTGAAGCTTATAGAATTACATCCATAGATGCGTAATTAGGACCACAGTGTTTTCCTGTATTTTGCCTCATTTTCCATTGTGAGGGTATGTGGGGACAGTGTTTCTTCATTTCCTCGGGTTTAAGCACACTTTAAATTTGGGAACTGGGGAGCAACCGGCTCTTCTGGTTGGTTTAATGTGAAACCTACCCATCTGCTTTATCTGAGATCCTCATAATCAACAGCTGGCCCAAGGGAACAGGTGGGATAGGGAACAAGGAGAAGTTACAGGGGCTCTGAGGAGGCTCAGTTTTCTCGTGTTGACTGCTATGAGCAAGAACTTATTTTCCTTTAGCACCTTCATTTGTACCCAGTGACAGCAACAGGTGAATCGAGAGGAAGAGACAAGGAATACCAGTCTACAGTTGAATAGCTATTTTCCATGCTTTGGGTGGGGCATCTGGGCTCTCAAAATTATATATGGATTACATTTCCTTTCTACATGTCAGAACCCATGGTATAGGGTTAAGTGATCCCAGAGTGTACCTCCCCTTTTCTTAAGGGAATGAGTTTCTCTGTGCTTTCATTTTAGTTTCTCATCTGAGGAAGAGAGGACTAGTTCCTACTTACTCTTCAGCTTTCCAAGTCTCTATCAGCTTTGTTTTTCCAAAGCAGCTTATTATTTTATTGTTTCTTTCTTTTTTTTTTTTTTTTTGAGACAGTCTCGCGCTGTGTCACCCAGGCTGGAGTGCAGTGGCGCGATCTCGGCTCACTGCAAGCTCCGCCTCCCAGGTTCACGCCATTCTCCTGCCTCAGCCTCCGA